ATGGAAGAAGCAGCAGGAGATGCAGGTCCTGCAGAAGCAGCGGCAGCATGCAATCAGATCATGACATCTTCTCCCTGAGGGTCAAGAAGGGTCTGTGGCAAGGGAAGAACTTCCCCAGCCAGGGATGCTGCATTAAACACCCCTGTGTGTTGCTGTTGCCCCATGGAGCCAAAGCCCTTCCAAGGGGAGAGATGCTGCCGTAGTCCAATTGCAGGGTTGCACCTGCAAATACCCCGAGGAGCCCACAGCAAATTAAATGGAGGAACTACCCAGCGGTGCTCAGAATTAGCAGCATTTAACCCACATGCAAAATGCTGGCAGAGGCCAGGCAGATGCAGGCAGGGTGGCAAAACCCATCGATGCCACCTCAGCCCTCATGCAAGAGCCCTTCTCCTTGCAGGGCTGGGTGCGCTGATGTCCCCCTCTCCTCCTGGTTCAGGCCAGGGCTGGTGTCTGGGTCCATGCCAGGTTCCCTCAGACAGGACATCGGAAGCCCCAAAGCCCTCGGTGTCACACAAGCTGCATTTGGGTATTTGCTCTGAGTTTTTTTTGCTCTCAAGACTTCAGGCAACCTTTATGCCACGCCATGAAGGACCTGTGCTGCTCCTCCAGCTCGGTGGTGCCACCGATGGGTGCTGGCTTTCCCCTCACAGGTTTTATCCACATCAGCAAAGGTCCGAGCCGGCTGAAACTCCTTCTCATGCTCTCTGGTTAATTCAAGAGAATCATGGGGAAGGCAGTCCAGAGCAGGGGGGATGTCAGCCAGGTTACGCAGGGAGGTCTCGGAGAGCTCCATCTTTCCCAAACCGTGCATCATCTCTGCAACCACAAGCTGAGGTTTCTCCTTGCTCACAGATGTGCAAACACAGTCAGGATTGCAAGGTTTTGCCCCCCAACCCTTGAACAGGTCAGAAATGAGTCACAGCCAGCACAACTGGACAATGACGGGGCTGCAAACCCTGTTAAGAAGCTGTAAGGAAGGTGGCCCAGCTGTAAAGAAATACTACAAAGGTGCTGAGCTACCTCGGGGCAAGGGGAGCAGATGCAAGCATCAGTGAGGGGTCATGGGCACTTGGCTCTACGCATGGCAGGGCAGGGTGGCCTCAGCCCTGCACATGCCAAGAAGGACCCCATCCCTGCTGGTCCTCCAGCCGTGGTGGGATGGGCTCCCGCGTGCTCAGGGCTGCAGCGGAGGTGGCAGTGAGAGACGTGGGATGTCCCCAGGGAACGTCCCCCGCAGACCCTGGGAGCAGCCCCCCCCCAAACCCCCTGCAGAAAGCCCAGCCCCGCCCTGCAAACGTCAGCGTTGCAAGAGATGAAAGGTCCCACAGCACTGTGCCAGCTCTGCGCCCAGATCAACCCCGTCTTCGCGGCTCGGGGGGGAAACGGGGTGATTCCTGCAGAGGCAAACGGATGCAGGGAGGAGGAGCAGGGCGAGGGAGGCGATGCCATTGACCGCGAAATGTTGGCTTCTGATCTGTAGCTGCTGATCCAATTAAAAGGGTTAACCCCCAGAGATGCCCCCGCAGGGGAAGCAGCCTCTAAGAGGTCCCCCGCGGGGAGGTATGGTCATTAGGGCAGGCTCCCGGAATGAACGGGTCTGGCGTATCACTGACACGATGGCAGATTACCCACCGCTTGCAGCCCCGTCCAGCCCACAGCAAGTCCCTCTGCCCCTCCTCGGCCACACGTCACCAGGCAGGGCTACGTGCGGAGGTTGGTCACCAGCTCACGTGGCCCCTGTGCATGTCCCCAGCGCTCCTCTGGGATGTTTTTTTATAGTCCTGGGAGAAACGAAGGTCTCTGACGCTGGCCAGCATTCAGGGTAAACCAAGGTAAAGCTGATGTCTTCTCCCTCCCATACCACTGCAGGGAAGGAAAAGCCAGAGGGCCCAAAACGTTAAGGCTGGAGAAGGATGGATTGGGAAGGATGGATGGAGAAGGATGGGTGGGGAAGGATGATGGAATGATGCGTGGATGGATGGATGGATGGATGGATGGATGGATGGAGAAGGATGGATGGATGGATGGATGGATGGATGGATGGATGGATAAGAATGGATGGGGAAGGGTGGATGAGGAAGGATGAATGGGAAAGGATGGATGGATGGATGGATGGATGGATGGATGGATGGATGGATGGATGGATGGTTGGATGGATGGATGGATGGATAAATAGATGGATGGGGACGGATGGATGGGGAAGGGTGAGGAACCCACCTAAGAAACCCATGGTTGCAGCTCTGCCATCTGAAGGGAGGGCTGAGCCCACCCTTCATATCCCTGTTGGCTCAGGGATCACTTCAGATGGGTAAGAGCCCTTCCTGCCTCACCGCAGAGAGCGGAGGGGAGGCTTTTGGGTCTCCTTGAGTGGAGACAAGCTGCCCTGTGCCACCTGTGGCTGTGTCCCTTGGACAGCAGACAGCCGTGCTGCTCCAGGACCAGTGCGAGGCGAGGTGCCTCCAGGCTTCTTCCTCCAACCAAACCAGCAAAAATCAATGTCATCCCGGTTTTCTCTGCCAGGAGCCGGCAGCCGAGATACGGTGCTTGGCTCCTGCCTAACTGGAGCTCGCCCCTTTGGTCTGTGTTGCTGCAGCGAGTGAGGGGGAGCAGCAGCCAAGGTGAGAATGTTTTACTGTTCAATATAAAATTTATGGGGTGCCTTTTATGACAGCGTCCCAAAGCAGGGCTGCAGTAAAGGGAGAACTGAAAGGCAGCGGAAAGCCTGACTCGCACCAACAGAGCACTGGCGGTGGCGTATCGCCTGATGGCGGGGGAGAAGCTGACACCGGAGAAGATGAGATGCTGCTCGGAGGCAGCCAGGGCCTGGGAGTGCGATGGGTCTGGGAGATAAAGAAAGTTATGGGAGGATGGGACAGTCACATCATGCACATGGCATCTTTGGAGACTTCCACGTCTTCCTTTCGTGGAAGCTCAGCACCAACCCCTGTTTGCTAGGACCAACTTCAGTGCAAGGACAACGGCGGCAGCAGGAGCAGAGCATACCCCATCCATCCCGGAGCATCTGCACTGGTGCAGCAACCAGGGCAACGCCCTCCGTGTTTCCTGGGAAGGGACCAGGCGGCAGCAGCATCTTTTGGTGGGAAGCTCCTTGGGATGGGACTGCTTCATCTCCACCTCGCATCTCCATGAAACCTCTCTCCAAAGAAACTCCCTCTTGCATATCACTGTTAATCTCCAAATCTCCCTGCCCGAGGCAAAGCTCAGCCGGGGGTCCAGGGCGATGCAGCTCTGACAGGGGTGATGCAGCTCTGTGGTTACTTCAAACACACTTTTTAGAAGAAATATAATGCGCCACGCTCTGGGTAGAGATAACTCGGTGAGGGACGGCAGGGACCTCGCCCCAGGCAGGTTCCTCCTGGCCGTGGAGCAGCTGGCACCATCCACCGCCCTCCCGGAGATGGTAGAGGAGCTCTGCGTGCATAGCACTCAGCTGATTTGCACCCAAGAGGTCTCCTGCCTGTGTCTGGGCTCAGTATAACCTATATGGGCTCAGTATAACCTATACCGGGCTCAGTAACCTATAGATACCTGCAGGAAACCTCACCTGGGCCGGGCAGTGCAGGGTTTGTGCTGGTTTCCTCCAGGCCATCCCTAGGAACCCAGCGGGGCAGCTTCACTTTCAAATGCCTGCCGCTTCTGGTAAATGAGCGTAAATTGGGGCTCAGCTCTACTTCAACTAGAGCACACGATTTAATTAGGCTGGCGAGTCAGGGGTCAAGCTCTGCCTGGGGACTGGCAGCATCCTCCCCA